CCCGGCACGCAAGGGAGTCGATCTTTCTTCCCTCTTTGTCCCGGGGTGATGTATGACCCCGTACCTCCCGACCCTGAGACGATTCTACCACCACTGAATTTGGCTTGGGGTGGCGGAGGAGGAACGGGATGTCCCCTTCACGGACTCGATACATCGCCTCATATTTTCTAGAGGTCGGTTGAGACTGCGCCGGAAGGTCCCACTGTTGGGTCATCGCTTGTCGGAGGGTCATAATAAGTGGCAAAGCTATGGAGGTCGATTGTTCTCCCCGCAAGACATCATAGAAACGGTCAGTGCTAGGCTCCAGTTGTTGGCTCGCTTCAATCTCCAACGACTTCACCAGCCTGGACATCGGTTTGGCAAACGTGATGTGCGGCTCTTCTGGTGATGCCGGACCTTGTGAAGTGACTGCAGCATCAGCACCAATATGGAGGCAGGAAGCTGGAGGAGGAACCCCCTGGTGACTGGGATCTCTCTTTCCCGAGACGGTGCACGCCCAGTGCCCCTCAAAGCCGTAGAGTGGGGTGGGTCCCGATGTTCAGTTGTGGGGGAGCGAGCTCTCGCAGCCGGGTGGTATCCGACGGATGGATAGTCGGACCATCTTGGTGCAGACGAGTACTGGGAATGGTACCAGTCATCTGAGTGGGGTTCCAAAGAGCGGCTCCTCCGATCTCTTGGTGGGGACAATTCGGTACCCAGGTCAAACCCAACAGGTGGCATAGGAGTTGGAGATCAAGCCCACGGTGGAGAGTCTTGGATCTAGCCATCAGAGATCGAACTGCGAGGTGGATCTTGGTGTAGCTCCGATCCCATACGACGCGGGGAGGCTGGAGGGGTGACTCCCATCGCCGCTTGAATAGTCGGACCCGACGGTGTCGGTACCAGGGCTGCAGTCGGTACCAAAGAGGTCGTCGAACCCAAGCGTCGATGTTTCGAATGCTCAGGCCTCTTTGGTTTCTTTGCCGATTTCTCGGCCTTATCTTTCTCGGCCCTTTTGTGCACAGGCAGATTCTCAGCACTGTGTTTCCTCTTTTCCTTCTGTTTCCTGGGCGGAGAAACAGGCCGCTTCCCAATGGCGGAAGCACCTTCGCCTGAAGGGCGTAAGGGCGGAGCAGTAGAGGAAGGGACCGGACGTTGCGGCGGTTCAGTAGAGGCCGAACGGCGGTCTGGTGGGGCTGAGATTGTAGCAGGCTTAGCCACCAGCCGGTCGGATTGTAGGAGGGCCTGGTCCCACAGGAGTTTCCATAAACGGTTCTCCCTGTTCTTCCTGGCCTGTTTCGAGAAGGCCAGACAATGGACACACTTGTCCGTCCTGTGGCCCTCCCCCAAACAGAGGAGGCACAGGTTGTGCAGGTCTGCAGTGGGCATGCTAGGGCCACACTCTCCGCACTTGCGGAACACCGCTCGTTGAGCCATCGCGGAAAAAGAAGAAAAGAAGACAGTAAGGCTGGAATAGGTAATATTTTTGTTGTTGTTGGGTTTTTTTTAATAGGAACGAGAAAATGAGAGAAAAAAACGAAGAGAATAACTGGAGTAATACGTTAAGAAGGGAATACTAACTTGGAAGGAACAAGAGAAAAAGATTCGAACAAGGTACAAGGCATGATCTAAGCAAGAGCAAAACGGCACGAGGCACAACGAATGGCATTCACAAAGACTGGAAAATGGCGGATACTCCACTCCTTATATACTACTTGGGGGGAGGGGGAGCGGAGTTTCCCACCAAACCGTTAGCTGTTAATCTTCCGGCCAAAGGCACTGCGCAGGCGCAGAACCCATATGTGTGATGCACAGAGGCCACGACGAAGAACCCACATGTATTCCTAGCTTGATAATTTTCTGATATGTTCTGTGTGCGAACAGCAAGACAACATGGAGATCCAGAAAAACAATCCCTTGCTTGGAGTCTCCCACTTTTCATCAACCAGGCAGAATATGGTCTGAAATGTATTAAACAACTGACAGTCTTATTAGACATCACTCATATTCTTTCAGGAAAGAGAAAATGAACAGGAAGATGGTTAGAACATACGTCCAATCCTAGAGGTTTTGATGCATTTGGCATACCTACATGGATTCTTTGCCTAGCCCTTGTACTTCCATTTCATAATTTCATACTCCTGCAATGGCACAGTCTTCTCCACCGTGATTCAACAGGCTCACAAACAAAACGGTCAAGCACTCCTCTTTAAGAAGTGCAGTAGTCCTTCTGTGTGTGTGCAGGGAGGGGGGCATTTCCCATCGCCACTACCAGAGTGGGGTTCCCCCAGTGGAATGCTTCAGGATTTAGGTCACACACACCATAGTGCTAAAGGAACTCGTAGCACAAGGCCCATGCTTTTCCTTGGAGGCAGTTCAATCCACCAGCAGGCTGAAACTGAAAACAGGTCTGACTAGCATTACAAGTATAGTTCCATTGGCTTTGGAACAAACATGTTCTTGTATGTCCAGTCTTGTGATTAGAACCTAGGTAAATTACCAAGAGGCTTGTGATCCAACACTCCATGAAGAAAGAGGTGATTTCTGGATTTCAGTGGAAACCAACCTGGCCTCTATCTTGGCTAAACTTCTTTGGGAAGACCAGAATGCTCAAGAGGACTTGCTGAATGGCCAGCTCCAGGGCATCCACTGTGAACTCTGTATCTCGAGGGAACTTGTGCCCTTTCCTGCATTGCTCATTTTCTCACAGAATTCCTCATAGAAGGTTATGAACCCTGGCAAAGTTGGTGGTGTTGGCAGTGGCCCAGATTGCCAAGGTCTCAGCTTCAAGACTCGGGCACAAGCTGAATCAGTCTGACAACCCCAGGAATCCTCTGGCAGATTCTGCATTGACCAGGCTGTTGGACTAAACAACTCCATGGTGCCTTTCAGCTCGCCGAGTCTCTGATTTTATTTCTGCCCTGTTCTTGGGTCCTTGCAGGTCAGAACAGTGACTGGGACATGCAGAAAAGGTTCGTTTGTTCTGATTTTGGAAACGAGAGAATAAAACTTCTTGGCTATCTCTCTGGGAATCTTGGCCTATGAAGAATTGCACCACTTCTGATCCAAGAACATTTTTTTAAAAGCTGAGGGAAAAAAGATGGCTGACAGAGTACTGCAGAAACTCAGGAAAACCCTTGAACCTTTCTAACATAGCTGCCCATGATAGAAACCTTGAGTGGTACCCTATATATTCCCTCCTACAAATAAAGGGTGCAGGCCTGAACAGTCTGCTTTGAGTGATGATGGGAGAGGACCTTTACTCCTCCCTCTTCCAGTCTGGACTAGAAATAGCCCTAGTTATTAATGGACTACCTGCTGATTCTCAGTTGACCCAGTAACCCTTGCTCTCATGTGCAGATTCCCCAGAAAGATGGGTTTTCAAGGTATACTATTTTAAGAGCTCATCTTTCTAGTCCAGCATGTTGGAAGAAGGAAGTAGGTCTGTGGAATCTGACCCTGGCTTGGTGGCATAAAAGATAGTATTACCAACTTTCTGGGTTTGGCAACAATAAGTTATACTGTTTTTGGACTTTCAGGGACTGTTTTGTTTTACTTTAATTTTGTTTCATTTTGGATCCCCTTGCATCTATGATTGTGTGCAGGGAGAGGAAGAGTCATCCCCAAGACACTTGCCAGACAGGCCACCTGCTCTCCTTGTAAAGTTTAGCTGATACAGGTACATCATGACAAGGCAGCAAATCTATTTTAGCAACTCTAGCTGGGCTGAGGTCATGGTGTGCTCGCTACCGTGTTAGTAACCATTTCATCCTTCTAGGACTCTTGTGCAATGGCAGTCCAAACATATTGCAGCTTTTCCAACCTCCAACATGGGAGCATGTGCCTTCTCACACTGGAGATGGTGCAACTCATCAAGCCTGTTGGGCAGGCAGCAGTAACTTAGCATCTCTGGTTCCCAGCAGTAAATGACATTCGAAGCCTTGGTGACTGGAGCAAGTCCCAGGGAATCAGAGATGGCCACCTCCCACTAGAGAGAAAGGAAGCAGAAGCAGCTTTGTGGACTACTGCTGCTCAGCCCCACCAATGGGAAAAGGCAGACTTGAGGTAGGCTGGGGCTGCCTTGGCCCTGAAGACCAAGGCAATGTAGTGAGGGTAGCTGGCACAACCCTCCAGGAACCTGGCTAAGGAAGTAAAGTGGAATCTGACCCTGGCTTGAGTTGTGGCACCTGCCATGGGGTGCATGTGGAGTAACTAAAAAAGGGATTTGAAAAAATTAAAAGGGTCCACCACCTGCTGTTGCAATTAAGGCAGCAGAAGCAAAATGGAAGAGTGCCAGCAAGAACAACTCCTCCATGCTGCTGAAGAGAGAGGTTCTGATGCCGTCAGGCAGGGTGAGAGGTTGTCCAAGAGCCGCAGGATCAGGCACAGTCAGCCTGGCCTTCCCACTTCTCTCAAAACCCTAACAGGAAAGAGATGAAGGAAGAGAGAACACAACGCCATTGTTGCCTTTGCTCCCCACTCACCACTAGCACCCATCCATCCATCCATTATTGGTTACTGTCAGTTGTCAAGGTTTTTAGGCCTGTATTTTAGGCCAGACAAACTGTTCCTCTTGGTCAACAGCCAAAACCTGAGAGGAAGCTTCTGAACATAAAGAACACAAGTTAAGTCATAAGAGCTCTAATATATTATTTTGCAGGTATTATGTAGTAGTAAGATGCAGCAGTCATCTGCAGCAGCTGTTGCTGCTGCTATTATTATTTTGTGTCAATTCCTGAGGCAGCTCTCTTATTTGGGAAAGCTGCTGACCAAATACTCCTTCACTACTAGTCTGGCAAAAGTCACAGTAGTTTTCAGTAAGCATTAGAGATGTTTACAGAAAATGCATGCTGAGACGTGGAGACAGGTGAGGCTAAGGAAGTAAAAAATAAGGTTCCAAAAAGGAATGAACTTGACAGAGATGTAGATGTTTGATGGCCAAATGCAATTTCTGGCCTGCTACTACCCTGGTTAAGACTTTTCCTTCATGCACAGAGCATAGTGAGAGGCAGAACTTTTACCTTTTTATTTCCTCCTCCAGGGGTATGAGTGATGTTATCTAATGATCCAATTTTCGATTGCACTTTATCTTTAAAGTCCAGTTTCTCAGATTTCACTTCAACCTGCCCCCCACCTATGGGAAAAAAAGCACAGGGTTAATAGATACCCAAAGATGCAGACAGTGCTGGTCTCTAAGAAAGCAGCATGCTTCCTTCTCTTAGTGTGCTGCTTTCTCTCAAGCAGGTGTTTTTCTCTTGATTTTAGGTATGTACATGTAAATGACAAATTCTACTCCTAGAGAGCAGAACACTCTGCAAGTTCACTGAGCAGAATAATGTAAGTCCTACACGATTTGAAAATATATTATGACCTCAAAATTTTCTTACCACAACATGGTACCCTTTAAATGTTTTGGACTTCTACTTCCATCAGCCCCAGCCAGCATGGCCAGTGGTCAGGAAATCCACAATATCTGAAAGGTACCAAGATGAGGAAGGCTGTACTTTTCTATCTTCCATCTCAGTGTTTGGAAAACAAAAATGCAGAGCCTGCCCTCCAGAAGTACAATATAAAAATAAAATTATGCTTAAAATAATGAAACACATATAATAGTCATCAACATCACCTGGTTTATGATGAATATTGTCCAAGGAACCACACTTCGATGTTACATGGCTGAGATCCACTGGCTTGTAAACAATTTGTACCTGTGAGAACAAAATGAAAAAGTGCATACAGTGCCTGGGGCTGGGTTTTATTTTAATTTGAAAAAGTAAACAGGAAAAGGGAGACAGATGACACACTGGAACCCAACCGGAAAAGAACAGCTTGAAAAGTTGTCCAAAAGATTGATCAACCAAGCATAGGCAGAAGGGAAGTGTTCCACCAAAAATGGTGAAGCCAAAGCACATGTTGTAGCAAAGTTTCCCACCACAAGTGAGCATGCACAGACTCTGACTGGTTGATTTTTAAAGATTCAAATAAAAGTGACAAGGATCACCATATCTTAGTAAAGGTAGATACCTTCCATATCATACAGTTTCCAAACAAGCATATTTACTATTCAAAAACTGAATTAATTATGCTAACTTTAAAGAAAAAAAACCTTCTATCTTCCCTTGTTTCTGTTACTTTAGTCTTGTCCATGTTATTCCAGACTTGCCCAACCTTTTATTTACACAGGATTCCAATTCCATTCCATATATTTAAATATAAGCTTTCCATTCAATTATCTCAATAATATAATTGATCGTTCTAAAGTGAGTCTTTTATAGTTGCAAGCACTGTTATCCATAAAAGTTAAATTGTCTTGCAAGATCACATGTGGCTATAACTGACATTAAGTTTAATGCATTCCTACAGCATGCACAAACTTTTTAACACACCTCCAGAAGAGAGTGGTAGAAAAACAATTGTAATTGAAGGTGCTTAAATGAGAGTAGAGAAGTGTAGAGAAAGGTGGGGGGGGGGACAGAAAGAGAGGGATGATCAAATAAAATATGGTATAGAAAATGTAAAAAACCAGAAACAACTAAATACCTTTTCTGATGTAAAACTTAAGGTTTATGTCCACAAAAACTGAAAGAACAGAAATAGTCAATGTGCATTGAAAGGGTTGCTTTTTATTTTTAAAAATGTTGTGACAGTACAAAAGGTACCTGAAACAACATTGGGATTGTAAGCATATTGCAGTTAAGAATCATTTGTCCAATAATAAAACATGTTCTAAATGCATGCAATCACAGGAAGAATTCAATCAAAATTCACTTTTGCCTCCTCATCTCTCAAAAACCTACCAAAGTAACTGAATTTTCAAAGCCAATAGTTAAGCAAATCATTTGGCTATGTTGCATACCCTCACAAAACTTTGGTCATGTAATATTCATTCCTATGATTTATTAAAATCATTGCTATGGTATATTAAAACAATTGCTATTACAGTACAACTGTGACAGATTTCACATCATTAGTGGTTGTACGTGTGCATGCGCGCGTGTGGGGTGGGGTGGGGTGGGGTGGGGAAATATTACTAAAGCTGTTAAACAATATAATCCTGAATTTTTAATTGCATACAGAAGTTAACAAGTGTACAAACATGCATGTAAGGTACAGGTAAAAGCAAAACTTGGGATTAGGAGTTATCAGGTCACAACAACGATTAATAACATTGTGGAAAGAAAAATAATTTGAACAAAGACAAGCAACAGATTTCCAGCATCCTCAGTCCTTCCCTGCTGTGCAGTTTGTTCAAAAGCACACCGAGTTCCAGGATGCCTGTACCCCACTTAAGATTAATCAAAGGGAAGTTGAACATTTGAAACTGCAATTTGCCAGTGAATAAGTCAGTATGTTAACCAATGTGGTACTTCTGCCAAGCCATTCAGAGGAATTTCAACTGATAGTTGGCATCTGTTCAGTGGACATTTTTCTCCTCCTCCAATCCCCAGAGCACCATTTTACAGGTTGTAATTCTAAATGCCTCTTCCACCAAAAACCACTCTATGTGTTTCAAGACTCTCACCTACAGGCTTGTCACAGTCCAGTAGGCAATCAAGCTGCTAGGAGAGGAGTTAGAAATGAGCAAACTTCAACTGAAGCAATTGAAATTACAATAGCTTAGATCCATGACAAAGATCATGACTATGCCAAATATGGTGAGTAAAGGCAGAAAGGGAATTCTAAAGGTCCCAACCAGTCTTGGAGACTGTGACAGAAATTCTACCTGATGAGGAAAAGGCCTGACAGGTGGAAAACTGAAATTACTATTTCGCAAACAAGAGGCTTTTCCTTTTAAATCTGTCCTATTCCTTCTCTCCTAGTAATCCATCTTGTACCTTTGCCAATTACCCGCAAAACAGCAGTTCTGCATAGTTTACCACCAGCTTATGAGTACAGTGTCTTCAGCATCCTAACCTATTTTACACGGAAAACATACAGCAAATTCCTTCCCAGAAATTTACAGAATTGGATCTGCCTTCAAGTACATGTTCTCTGTCCGGTCGCACTTTGTCATTCTAAAGGCCAAGGAATACATATCTGAATAAACATAAGGAATAAGACTAGAGTAGAAAGGTCAAGGCAACAGCCATACTCTCTCTTAAATTTTCAGGAATCATAGTTTCTCTGCAAGGAAGATTTTACTATTCCCACCACCTATTCAATCAACCCCCCTCTGGCAGCTTTTGGCTGGGAAGGGCAATGGGTGAGCATACAGGCCTCCATTGTCCAAGCATCCCGCCCATATCCAAAGGCTGATGCCAAGGGTACATCTATTTACTTTGCCCTAACTGTGGAATTTAAATCAGAATAGAGGCTTGTCTCTTTTTCCTCTAAATGTCTGGCACGCTGGTCACAGCAGCCACAAAATGGCTCTTCCTCTGTCTCCATGAGAACCAATATGTAACTCCCCATCAAATGAACTATTTGGAAGAGCTCCACTGAAAGGCCATAATGTAGATTTTTAAAAAAACTAACACTGCTCTGTCATCATCTCTGCCATAAAGCAAGTTATACCGCACTCTCTAGATCAAGAATAGGCAGACTTCAGACTTGTGAGACCTTTTATTTTAAACTGGACTAATGCACTTACACTTGAAGAATTCTGAACAAAAGACTTAATGGAGCTCAGTGTATTTGCACACAAAATCCATTCTTAGTTATCCCAAGCTTTCTGTATTTCCACAGTATCATTTAAGCCAGAGGGATCAATTTGTTGCTGCTATTGTTAAACCACTGAGAATTCCTTCCCAACCTACTGCAAATCATCTAGAGATCTAACAGTAGATTCAAATCTATTTCTGCTCTAGCCTATGTATGAGCCAGCTCATCATCAATCTTCTTCTATCAGTGCTTTACTCACCAGCTCTGATAGGCATCCCTACCATTTCATCACCTATCAATTGCTCAAAGGTACTACTTTAGCTCCACAGAGAAAGGGTTCGGGTTCAGGTTGCATCAACTGCCAAAATAATTTCTCATCCCAGAGACTTAACAGGGCTTTGAAAGGACTGCCAACTATTGGTGACCAGAATATCTCAAAAAACCATCAAAAGGGCATTCTGGTGCATCAACCTCTCCCAATAAGCCTCACCATCCTAACAGAGGTTCTAGTGAGCTTAAAATACACTAATTACCTCAAAGTTTACTCTGTAGGCACACATCTTTTACGTCAAATTTGGTAAATGTTTGCATTTGGCAAAAGCTATGACTAAAGGACACAGATTTTGAACACAAGATGAACACCACCAAGTAGGACATTATGAATCCTAGGAGTTGGTCCTGTTCAGCTCAGGAACAGAACACATAGGAATATACATGTAAGACCTTTGCAAGCATTTGCCTCTACACACACAGATCTAACGTGGGGATGAAATGAGGGTGCCTCCCAGCTGCACATTTTGTAAACTGAGCATGAAGGTCTGAAGTGGGCTTTGGGTATGAGTGCACTTACAACGCTCCCATGATCAGAACACTTCAAAAGGCCACGGTTTTCAGTGATGAGACCCCTACAAGTGCATTTAGCCAAATGCACTCACAAAATTCTCTTCTGACTATTGAGGCCAACACACAATGGTCTCAATTGCAACCAGGCCCATAGGAACATGGAAGGCAGAGCTTAAATGTGTGCACACTTTGTCCCCACTTTCATACTACACATGTGCATTTAAGCATCTGCTTGGTGCGGAATGGTAGGAAAAAAACGTTAGGGAAAACCAAGGCACAGGCACCTACTCTCGTTCCATTTGTTCTGTGATATGTCTTTCATGCATGCACAGTTCAGGAAAAGATGAAATTCATGCAATTAGGCTTGCTAGTTCAATATATATTAAGCAAGGATGGCACAGATATAAAAATCCGTTTATACAGAAAGAAATCTGCTCCTTTCTGTATTTCAGTAGTCAGCCTGCCTTCAGCTGAGTGCAAATGCTCATCTTGTCTTCTAAAGCCAATAGTTTAAACCTCCAGCATATCAAATTGAACAAAATTCAATAACATATAAAGATCTGAGGTCCACTGCCTCAGCTAAGTGATAAGTATAAAGCTCCTAGTCACCACGACTCAGCTCGAGAACTTTTCTTGTTTCTAATGTTACTGAAACATGTGAAATTAGTTTGCTCCAAACCTTACAGATTTACAAAGTAAATCCCAAGGTAGCATTTTCCTTAAGAGGGGAGCAGTCTAAGCTTTTTGGGGGGGCGGGTTATGTCTGTAGGGGAAAATCCGGCTTATCCAAGCTTTGTTTAAATAAAGAAACCTGCTTTGGAATATAAGTAGCTACTAAAAATAGAATAATACTTTATTTTGGCAATGTTACAAAGGGTATTCATCTTTACTCTGTAGTTTTCATTTATCTAAGCTTAGGATAGTCATCATGAAATTACTGTTCATCTCATGACTTATTCTATGTTCTCCCAGGTTTAGACTGAACAAAATTATTCCTAGTTTGAGAACACACATTATTTTGCCTGAGGATATTCAGAGTACCACCAGCACTTGATCTCTACATCACTTAGATATTATTTGGTAAGATAACAGATGGTAGGTTTGAAAGCCCTCCGAAAGAAAAAATAAGTGCATAAACTTATATCAGTGCTGGGCACTCATGCTGTTGTTAAGCAAATACTTTTAGCTTCCTGGATGTAAAATGGCAGCTACTTGCATTCACAAGCAAGCATGGATGTTAGCTAGCCATATGGTCATTCCAAGA